AACGTGAGAAAAAAAGTACATCATAAAGTACGAAGGTATCTATACACAGCCACTGAGCATTTGTAAACAGAAACTTGCAATGAAACCCCGCTTATGAGCTCTTCTGATTGGTTCACCGCTATGGAACTAACAGTGATGAGCAGCCCTGTTTTTGGAAGACTTTTGAACTGAATCCTCATCCTTGAAAATGCTCTACTTTAATCTCGGCTGTTCGTGAGGTGTGTATTTTTAGTGTGTTTTATGATTATGAACGCATCTTTGCTTCTAAAAATGTGAGACACAATGAAAAAAAGTACATCATGAAGTACGAAGGTATCTATACACAGTCACTGAGCGTTTGTAAACAGAAACTTGCAATGAAACCCTGCTTACGAGCTCTTCTGATTGGTTCATCACTATGGAACTAACAGTGATGAGCAGCCCTGTTTTTGGAAGACTTTTGAACTTAAACTGAATCTTTATCCTTGAATATGCACTACTTTACACTCGGCTGTTTGTGAGGTTTGTGTTTTTAGTGTGTTTTATGATTCTAGATATTGAATGTTTCATCTATTTTGAATGTTTTACTTTTATTGCTATACAAAAATCTTTTTTTTGGTGTGACACGCTTTAAGAATTAAGTGTTAAAGGCACTTTAGAAACAAATTATTATTATTACTTCACACAGTGTCCTGCTATTTTATTCTATGTCAGATTATGCTACCAACACTGTATTCAATGTAGTTAAAGAAGCTTGTGGCCACAATGTATTGCAAAATGTCAAGTGAGTGAATATTATTGTGTGCATGTATAATTTTGTAGTTTGAAATGTTAAAAATCTAATAAAATGAAAACAGTTTAGACTTGGCCTAACCCTCTTCATAGAATTCATTCACAATGAACGCATCTTTGCTTCTAAAATCCTGAGGCACAAAGAAAAAAAGTACATCGTAAAGTATGAAGGTATCTATACACAGCCACTGAGCGTTTGTAAACAGAAACTTGCAATGAAATCCTGCTTACGAGCTCTTCTGATTGGTCCACCGCTATGGAACTAACAGTGATGAGCAGCCCTGTTTTTGAAAGTTGAAGATTTTTGAACTTGAACTGAATCTTCATCCTTGAAAATGCACTACTTTACACTCAGCTGTTCGTGAGGTGTGTGCTTTTACCAGTTTAGACTTGGCCTTACCTTCTTACTTATATTTTAACATGACTATCAACTTTTAAATTAATGTCTAGAGTTAGCCAATATACATAAATTAATTCACTTCTTTAATAACTTTATTTTTAATCAGCACATCAAATTTATCCCTACGGGCCTATGTCTTATAGAGAAGCACATAGAGACTGTTATTAACTTATTTTTTTCATGAGGAATGTTTTAATAAGCAACAGTAAGATTTTGTGTATATTAAAGGTTTTACATGAAACTACGGATGACAATAATTTTGAAAGTCCATATGAGTTATATAGATAATAATAACAACAATACTACTACTACTAATAATAATAAAAATAAAAATAATTCATCATTCATTCATTTCTTTTCAGCTTAGTCCCTTTATTAATTCAGGGTCGCCACAGCGGAATGAACCACTAACTTCTCCAGCACGTTTTTACGCACCTCTAGGAAACATCCACACACTCATTCACACTCATACACTATGGACACTTTAGCCAACCCAATTCACCTGTACTGCATGTCTTTGGACTGTGGTGGAAACCGGAGCACCCGGAGGAAACCCACGAGAATGCAGGGAGAACATGCAAACTCCACACAGAAATGTCAACTGACCCAGCCGAGGCTCGAACCAACGACCTTCTGGCTGTGAGGCGAAGGCACTACCGACTCCGCAACTGGTACACTGTATAAAGGAGTCTTGACTACAAATGTACGTTTTGTACAACAAAATGTACCCTAGTAACGAATTTCAGTATTTAAGTGTACAACAAAATGTATTCTAGTAACGTATTTCAGTATTTAAGTGTGGACAGTGCCCTCTAGTGGATTAGTCATCTGAAACATACAACAAAATGTACCACAAGTAACATGTTTTAGTCACAAAAGTGTGTTCAGCGCCCTCTAGTGGATTTGTTATCTGAAACGAACAACAAAACGTACCATAAGTAACGTATTTCAATCGCAAAAGTGTAGACAGCGCCCTCTAGTGAATTTGAAGTTAATTGAACTTATTTGAATATGCTAATCAGGTGTCAACTACATTTTTTAAAGCTACACAAAGTTTACCTTAATATTTCAGTCAGTTTGAGTGACTGAAATGGAGATGACTAGAAAAGTAAACTGGTAACACTTTACAATAAGGTTCATTAGTTAATGCGTTTACTAACATGAACTAATCATGAACAACACCTGTACAGCATTTATTTTGATAGTTTTTGATTATTCTGATCATCATAATTGAACATTTACTAATGCATTATTAACATCCAAGTCCATGCTTGTTAACATTAGTTAATGCACCATGAGTTAACATGAACTAACACTGAACTACTGTATTTTCATTAACTAACCTCTACTAACATGAACAAATACAGTAGTAAACGTATTGTTCATTGTTTGTTTATCTTAGTAAATGCATTAATTAACATTTACTAATGAACCTTATTGTAAAGTGTGACCAGTAAACTAAAAATATAGATTTTTTACAGCGTATTTGGTGTAAACGCTTCATCATGAGTCGTTTTTGTCCCATTCTCATGGATTTTCACGTTGTAACAGTTGTTTCGCTTCCAGTTTCTGGAACTTGTTTAACACAGACATTCTCACTCGCACCCACACGCAGAAACGGCAAATACCGCCAATATTTACAGGGTTGTTTTTCTCGTAGTCTCAGACTGAACACCCACAGTCTGTTCACTGACCGTCTGATGCACACAGAACTGGAAAGCTTGATTTTTTTATTTTTTTATTTTTTGGATCTGGCAAGCTCAATTGTGATGAAGTGATGACATGAGTGAGTCTGTCTGAAAGCAAGACTGTTTACAAGGTTCCCAATTAATACGAGCTGTAGAGATTTAAATAATCACGAGATCTACAAAAGTTCATCTGGTTAAGTGTTGTTTTTTTCATTATTATTATTATTATTCTGAAGCACTTCCCAGCATGCACACAACATCAAGACATTAAAGGGCACCTAGGTTACCCCTTTTTTCAGATTTAATATAAGTCTTTTGCATCTCTAGAATGTGTATATAAAGTTTCAGATCAAAACACCCATCAGATTTTTCAATATACCTTTTACAAGATGCTGTTTTATACTGATTTCCAGCAGGGGGTGGTTTTGTCGTACTGCGCCTTTAAGACGAGTTTTTCCCGCCCACTTTCTTGCCCACTACATGCCTCCTCCCTCAGCTGCGTCAGACAACATACAGACTTAAAGGAAGAAGGTCTCACGTAGCGTTTGTGAGATACTACAGTAAGAACTAACCTTTACTAATCAGTATTGTGAAGTTGCATTGATGAGTCACACACAATATCGTTACAAAGTTAACGCGCGCGCACACACACACACACACACAGGTAGGCAGACAGAGCGCGTTTAGTTTAGTTAAGGCTAACCTCAAGTACTTTGTGGATATCTGTTATGCTAATGTACAAAATAAACCTGATTTAACTTCCACAAACCGGGATTGAAGCGTCTTCTATTATAATTGTTCTGACACGCGGCTGTGCTGATGAAGTAAAGCTAAGGTAAATCGCTGTAATTAATTACACACATACTCTGTTTTAAAACACTTTAAACATGTGAAACTCACTCTTAATCACATTTGATGATGATTGCTGATCCTAGCGAACAGAACAGACCTTTTATTCCCGGTTGCTTTGCGCATGTCTGCCTGGTCTTGTTGACATATACACGCGACTACCGGAACATGTTAATGCGCGCAGCTGTCAATCAATTCGGTGGGCGGGGGGATCGCACACCTACGTAATGGTGCGATCGATTTGAAAACAGCTCCAAATGGCCGACCCTTTTTTTTGTAGTTAAATTGAAAAAAAGGACTGGGTGTGTTCATATCACCCCAGTATGACGGTCTATACACTATACCAACACACAGATCTGTCCAAACAGCTTGAAAAGTAGATTTTTTACCATAGGTGCCCTTTAACATTTGGTTAGATTTAGGTCATGACGTCAGATAACCAAAATGCAATGTCTAGTCAGCGTCTAAGGACAATGTTATTTTGACGTCCATTCGTGACATTAAATTACGTTGACATTCAGTTGATTTTAGGTTGTGTAGAAAAGTAAACAAAATTCAACATCGGATAGACGTCATAGTGGTAACGTCCACACAACATCAATGTGTAACATGATTACACGTTGATATTTAGTTGATTTTAGGTTGGTTATTGAACATTGACGTCTACATGACGTTCTGTTCTGACGTTAACCCAAATTTCATTTCCAAACAAAATCCAACGTCCCATGACGTTGGGGTCATGTTGACGTCATGTGCCTGCCGGGTTGGTACCAACTAAAATTCATTCATTTTCATTTGGCTTAGTCTCAAATCTATCAGAGGTCACCACGGTGTAATGAACTGCCAACTATTCCAGCATATGTTTAATGCAGTTGATGCCCTTCCAGCTGCAACACAGTGTTAGGAAACACTCATACACTACAGCCAATTCAATTTATTAAATTCCCCTATAGCGCATGTGTTTGGACTGTAGGAGAAACCGGAGGAAACCCACGCCAACATGGGGAGAACATGCAAACTCCACACAGATATGCCAATTGGACCAGCTGGGGCTCAAACCAGTGACCTTCTTGCTGTGAGGCCACAGTGTCGCCCCACCAAGTAAAACATAAAGTATAATTATCTCTAAGCTGAAAATCATGCCCTGGGGAAAGGTTTACGACTAATTATTTTTCCTAATTCAGTTTATTTTTGGAGTCTTAAACTTCGGAATGAACCAAACATGCAAAATCCTCTGATCTTGTGGTTTAATGACGCTTTATTAATGTGATTTTTCTTTGTGTTGTCTTTAGGTCCTCCAGTCATCGTGGGAATGAGTATAAATATCGCCAGTATTGACTCCATTTCAGAAGTCAACATGGTTAGTGACACTGATTTTGCTTACTTGTTAGTTGTGCTGATTGGGTTTGTGCTG